GGCGGGGGGGGAAACCCCCCGGGTGGTAAACTGGGGGGGGGGGGGGCGGTCACTGGCGAAACTTGAAGTGCCCCCCACTTCTCTGCACTGCTTCTGCATACCCCCTGGGGGCTTCCCAAATGCCCCCACAAGTATGCGTACCCCTGGTTGATAACCCCTGAGGTAGGATGTTAAATAATACAGCATTCAGTACGTACAACCAATTTGTAGTGATTTACCTCAAGATAAATATTCTTGGATAAAACTGTTGTGCTGTGCCTTGTAGGCTTCAGAGGAAAGGTTTATGTACTCTAGCACCAGGGAGGTCAGCTAGTTAATGAGACTGCTTGTTCCGCATGGAAACATTTGTCCGTAAGTCACAGTGATTGGAACATTCTCTAAAGAACAATGAATGGGGTAGCAGAATTATGCTTTGCCCATATAGAATGACCACTGAAGTACTATAAATTCTACTAAAAATGTGTATTCATGGAGCTTATTAAAGATCAGATGTTTATCTAGTCAGGTAGCACCTGTGTTTTCTTACTGGCTTTCAGCATACCTGTTATGAACAGCTTGTAGATACCACGTACAAGTATATCTTAAAGCAGCATAAAGATACGTGGCTGCATAGCAGAAAAGACTTTACTGGCATGAGTTTGCATAGATAATCACAACTGGAAAAAAAACTTGAGTTCTAGGCTCATGTTACATTGGTTCCAATTAACCCTGTATACTGGGCCAGACTGGTAGAGTATATGCAGAGCAGAGACAAGTTTTAGAATAGTTAATTTTTTTCTTCTTCCTCTGTTTATAAAGAGAGGTTAGTTAAAAAGAGCCAGACAGCTTAATTGCTAGACTGAGGGGAGAAAATGTCTAATTTCCTCTTTCTATCAGGTTAACTTTCAATTAACCTACTCTTAGGTTAATTTTGTTATGGTTAAACACCAAGTCATAATGATGGATTCTGAATGTATTGCTAATACAGTACTGGAGTGCTGCGAGTTGCCCTTAGGGTTTGGACACAACCTGTTTACAAAGCTGACACAAATTACGCTGGGACCTGGAGCAGACAGATGCCCAAGTCTCTTGGGTAGCTGCTTGAAGTTAGTGCTATCACAGCACTTCGCCACTAGATGGTGGTGGAGCAAGTAACAGCCTGTTTGCTTTGACCATGTAATTACCCCAGGATAAGAGACAGCTAGACAACACCAAAACTGATCTTTCCCACACTAATTCTACACCAGATTTGAGTAAGTCCCTAGTGGCACTGAAATACCAACATAAAGACTGATTATACTTGCATAAAAGTGTTGTGTATCCAGGCAGGGCCTTACAGGCTAGTTTGGGGAGGAGAAAAAGAAAACATCATAAAGGACTTTCTCTTCACAAAAACTTTTGAGGTTTCTCAGAAATTCATTACTTCAGAAATAATTAACACCTTTGTCTCCTCTACAACTCCTGGAAAAATTGTGTACAATACTAAGTATTCCTTTAATAATGAAGATTAGACAGCTTGTGAACAAATAGCGCAGAAAATGAACTCTACAACAAGCTGGCAATTGCATGTAGGGTTTTCTGTGCTCTGCAAGCTAATTAAATGAGCAAATAGGAGTTTTTTAAAAACGGGTTGGAAAAAATGCAGTTTTGGTCTACAGCCTATATAGGGAACATAATTTTTTAATGTTTAAATGTGCTGATGCCTGTAAGTTTTCAGGAAATACATAGCTAAACTGCAAGCTAGGTGCCCTAAGCATGATGGTGATCCCTTGTGTAAGCTACACCAGAAGTATTATGGAGAAACTAAATTACTTTTGGCCATGTTTTTAAGCTTGCAACAAATGATGTGGAAATGTAGACTGAGCACCATGCTGTTTAGTACTTTGCCCGCATCCCTTATGAATTACTGGGAAATGGAAGGTATCTCATCCCTGCATTGCCTCAATGTAACAGAATAAGTGGCTTTTCCATTTGCCCAAGAGGAGGTGGTTGATAAGGAATCTGATCTATTTAAAAAAAAAAAAAAATTGGTCACATGCATTTAACTTTAATTTGGCCCTGGATGGATGCCCCTAAAGACTGAGGTATAATTAAGTTCAAGAAAAATAAAAAATGAATACTGAATTTGAATCGTGTAAAGTCAGCGACTGCCTGCAGGTTAGCTTTAAACTGGAATGACTGCATACAGATCCCAACAGAAAAGCCTTGAGTATGATGGTTATGGTAGAGACCAATCTTTGACTGTCATTTGATTATACCTCAGGTTTTTTTGACAAGTTCCTAAAGGTTTAAGATGTGGATGCATTTCTGTTTAGCTCCAGTTGAAAGGACTGAAATGTAGGTGCAGACTTCCTATGAGGCACTCACTTAACTACATACCGGCATGGGAAAGGGCTTGGACTGGCAAAGAGTGTTCTGAAAAAGTTCACTTTCATTCAAGCGTATGCTGTCTGTTTCTCTCTGGATTTCACCCTTTGTCAGTAGTGGGGAGCGAACAGTCCTACTGTGCGCCCACCACCTGGCTGATACTGGGTGTCCTGGTCTCTCTTAACAGTTAGCTTTCTCTCTTTGGAAAACAGTACTGACATGTACTTTCTTCATCAGCAGATGAAAGAAATGACCTGCCGTGATGTTGTTAAAGAAGTCGCAAAAATGTGAGTTTCCCCTCCTCTGCACATACACCATTGAAAATGACACGGTGTAAAAAAAATCAGTCACCTAAAGTTTAGTTTCAGGTATCAGTTCTGTACCTAGAGCTATGCTCCTGCTAGTTTTGATTATATGAAAAGCATACTTGATATCTTGAAAATATGCAGAAGACAAACTGAGTACACATTTTTACCTTTTCCATCAGTCACTTCAGATATTACAAGTAACTCTCTTTATTTTATTTATTTATTTATTTATTTATTTTTTAATTTAAGCAACTGAACCCCCCCCAAAAATGCAGTGGCCCTCCCCGTCCCCCAGACTAGCCACCCACGGCCCCGTCCTGCTCCCCACTGGGGCTGTGCATCCCAGGGCCCTGAGCCCCGCCCAGCTGGATAGGGCTGTGAGAAACTTCCCTTGCAGCCTGTTCAAAACAGATTCCGAGGAGCTTCGGCCAAAACACCAAAACGAATCGGTGTCCTCTAAAATGTCCGAATCCAAAACTGAATCGAAACATAGCCGTTTTGCACTGCCCTACTACTATGTGGTAACTTTCAAAGACATCTAATCTCTGCCCGCTTTCTCTTGGAACAGTACCTAGTTGCAAGTCATCCTTTATGTTTTAACCACAGCTTAAGCAGTCAGAAAAACATGTTAGCATGCCTCCTTAGTAACTGCCATAATGATACACATACCATCAGAAAGCAGGTCTGTGGTTGCTGTTGGATCTGCAGGCATCAGCTTCTAACTGAAAGTAATTTTTAGGAAAGTAAAACTAAAAATCCTGTCCTCCATCTGTTAATATTATGTTATTCTCCCACTGTGGGACACTCACTACTGTAGGACTGAAAAAGCATCTGTCAGTTTGGAGCCCCCTGGCATTAGCGCATGTGTGAAATGAATCCATCCCTGAGATATGGTAGGTTAGGTACATTAGTACAATGTACGTAAGTGAATGCACTACAAGCTGATACAGTAATTCTCAGAGTGAGTGCCACAGCACCCTGGGGTGCCATGCAGTGTTAGCACTGTTAGGTGTGCAGACACCTACATCTGATTGGCAAGGTAAACCCAGAGATTTCAAATAGGAATCCATAGTGTAACAACCATTCTGATCTGTTGTCGGTTTTCTGAGTTCTTTGCAATAGAATTGTTTTTCTGTGATCAAGAAATAAGTAAAAGCCAAGAGCTGGTACTTTGTAAAGGAATGCGGGGGAAGGGAGGCCTGAGTCTAAAGAGGTAGAGCACAGTGGTTCTCTACCAGGATCATGAAAGATCATAGCACAGGGATGGCATAAAGCAGGAGTGCTCAGTCCCTTGCCCATGGGCCAAATCCAGCCTGCAGGGCTCCCTGCGAGTCAGGAAATTTGACAGCAGGGGAGCAGTGGCAATTCATACTGCAACCCCTCTCCTGCTGCCAGATTCCCAGGCCCTGTGCAGCTGGGCTACACCCCCTGCACAACCAGAGGATGTCTGAGCCATGCCCTGTACCACCATCACCACCACCTCCTCCCCCCATGCAGCTGGATTGTTGCTAAACTGACCCAGTTGTGTGCTGATCTGGTCACACACCAGCAGGATTCAGTCTGCAGGCAGATGGGGTGCTGGCCGTCTGGTCAGGGGCAAAAGGTTGAGCGCCACTGGCATAAAGTATTTGTTCTGCTCTTGAAGCAGCTCGTTTTCAGCTTGACTTTGAACCACCCACGTCAATATAAGGAATGCAAGTTTCTTTGTCATGCAGAACATTCACTTCATTTGTGGACAAATATCTTAAGGCTCTATATTCTCTACATACCCCTGGCAATGAGCAGGGAATGCCATTCTGCCCTCAGGTTGCTACCTTTGCATGTTGTGTGTAAAAGTGCACATGCAACCCCACACACAACTTGTACCCTTCAATGATATGCAGAATTAGAACACACGTGGCCAGTTCAAAAAGTTGTAACTTGTGCACAGTATGCTTACTGCAGGCAAAAAATCTTAATTGAGCTTCAGTCTTGATCAGTCAGTATAAAGTGAGTTACAACAGGCATATTTAGTACTCTGCTAGTTGAATTATATGACAAGCTCAAAAAGGGAGAAATGCGATGTCATCGTCTCCATTTACCAGTGCGTAAGTTCCAGACCAGTGAAGACTAACCTTTTTGGCAGGCATGTCACAATTTAGCCCTGCCCCTTCATGAGTGCCACACCTATCCCTTCCATGCCCAATCTGCTGCTCAGCTTTCTGCTTCCTGCCCTGTCTGCTGTGTTACACAAGCTGCCATGCCATTTATGACACGCATGCCACCGGTTGGCCACCACTGTTTTAAACTACCTAAATTTTGATCAGGGATTTTGAGTTCTACTCCTGTACCACAGAGACTGATAACTTGTTTGCATCATAGCCTGAAACGCCTTACTCTTTTTTGAAGTCATTAGTATAAACACTAGATATTTTGATTTTTAGTTCAACTTTTTTTTCAGTTAGATGAGAAACTGTAAAGCCATGTTGCATGTGTGGGGGGGGGGATGAATGGACAAGTTGGATATCTATATCTAATCTGTTTAATTATTAAATTAACAAATAGCATTTAAGAGGGAAATGTGTAAGTAGCCAGTTAATTGCAAACTTCAGTCTCTTTTCTAGAATCTACATAGTTCATGATGAAGTAAAGGATAAAGCTTTTGAACTTGAACTCAGCTGGGTTGGAGAAGGTAAATTTATTTAATTTATTCTTGTTTATAGAAATAATGTAGTTCTGATGGAAGTTTTGTGGCAGTAAATCTAAAGACTCAAATAACCTGAAGTGCATTAAATCTCTGTGTAAATCACCCTAGACAGACATTTAACCGGGATGATTTAGTCGGGGATGTTCCTGCCTTGAGCAGGGGGCTGGACTAGAAGCTCTTGGGAAGTTGGTCCCCTCTAACCCTATTCTCCTATGATCCCATGAAATGACTTACAAAATTTTACTTGTATAGCAGTTAAGTTCTAAAAGACCATTTCTAAATATGCTTTTATTTATAGTGACCAAGGGAAAACATGAAATTGTGCCGAAAGACATCAGGGAAGAAGCGGAGAAATATGCCAAGGTAAGCAAGAGAGCTTTATTTATTCAGTTTAAAATTCCACTTTACAAGGAAACCTGAACAGAATGAACTGAACAAAGTTCACTACTTCCAGTGTGCTTGCAACTAAGTGCAAAGGTAGCCTGGAATTTTTAGATTAACGGATCTAGAAACATTACCTGAAACAGTTTAGAAGGGAGATTAGCAAAACAGCATATCCCAGTTGTATCTTCAGTTGATCACATTCAAGAGCCTGGTAACGCTGGCATATCTCCTTGCCTAAGTAAGGAGAAAAATCGGTGCATTAGATTTAGACCTTGTTCTTAAACATTGGTACAAGTCTTGTAGTCAGTTGTGCCAAGTACAATAACTCCTCTAAATGCAGGAGCTGGCAGGAAAAGAGGTAACTGGTAGACGGAGGATCTCAACAGTTGTACTAGTGTTGGAAGCAGTAACTGCATTTAAGTGTTATGCACACAAGTAGCAGTGTTGGACAAATGATTTGACACTCAACCCATACAAAAGTTAAGGTGTTTGCACAGCATCCTGTAGCAGTGTGCATAAGAGACCTTGTTGTCTACCTCCTTCCATGTGCAAAGCCACAAATCTGAACTTCCTGCTCGTGGGTAGCATACCTTGCATCAGTGCAACAACTCCTGCTACAGAGAACCAGATCCTTTATCCAGATTCCTATGACTTGTAGGATGACCTCTCAACAAGGGCTAGAATTTAATGTGTGTATTTGTGTTTTCTAAACAGGAATCATTGAAAGAGGAAGATGAATCGGATGAGGACAATATGTAACACGTTGTTACTTCAGGACAAATTTTATTTTAGCACAGGTTTGTTTATTATGCATCAACTGTGGGTTGCCATTATGTACTTGCTGGAAGACTATTTTGACCAACTTGCACTAATAAATATTCCCATTTACTGTTATCAGACGTCTGGAAGTCAGTTAGTGATACTGGAAAAGACAAAGTAGAGCACTTCAGACCTGTATAAGTTTTAATAAGATTCTGAATTAAAGGTCTTTATGTCAAGAATGACACTTTCCTGAATTAACTAAAGTGAAGCTGCAAAATCTGCCTAATTGGGACACAGTACTTTCCCCCAAATACTTCACTGCTTGCTTGCAGACTAAGATACTGGTCCTGTAAAATTAGATTACCTCTTGTCTAGATGAGCACAACTTTGTCTACACTAGTGCTTGTCTGCCAGGGTGCCGTGAGATCCTTTTTAAGGGTGCTGCACAATATTAGCATTAAGTATGCAAACATTTACAGGAGTTGCAAAGTAAACCCAAAGGTTTTCAAAAAAGAAGCCAGTACCAAGAAACACTGAGCTGTTGTGACTAAGTTCTTTGCAACAGCAATATTGCTCTTAATTTTTCTGTAATTACAGAAGTTTAGAACCGAGGGGCAGTGGAACAGACTGCCATGGGAGGTTGTGGACTCACTGGAGGTCTTCAAGAGGTTGGACTGGCACTGGTCAGGCCTATGCTGTAGGTATTCCCCATGTTGCTAGGCTTTAATGGTTGCCACATGAGGCAGGGAAGTAATTTTTCCTACCTTCCTGCTGCTGCATGCATAAACAGGTATTTTTTTGGTGGGGTGGGGGTCCTCTCTCAGAAGTACTGGATGTTGGCTGCAGCCAAGGCTGGGGATTTTGACTGGAATGTGACAGTTTCTGCTGGGACTTTGAAACCAAGAAGGAAGTTCTTGGCTACCGGGTCTTGCCCCACTGCCATATTTGTGGTCAAAGAAGAATCTTACCGCATGGTTAGCAGGGATCCTGGTTTTTTCCTATTTAAAACCCCCCAATATTGGGTTAAAAAAAATTAACCCCAAATCCACATTTTTCTGTGGCTTAAACAAAACACCACTAACATACATACAGTGGTGTTTCATTTTAGTCATGGAAAAATGTGGATTTGAGTTTAAAAAAAAAAAAGGAAAGTGAAAGTTGGGGAAATTTTAAATCGGAGAAAACCAGGATCCCTGATGGTTAATTTGGTATAGACTGTGTGTGGGTGGTTGCTTTCTTCTGCAGGGGGCACATCTCTTGGCTCTCAAGCACTTTTAACAATCCTTGCACCTACTTCCAAGGAGTGTGTTGAGTCTAAAAAAAGGTTAAGGAGGAATGGCCTACACCCAGGGTGGTAGGTCACTACCTCATCAAAAGACAACCTGCAGCAGAAGGGGAGGCTATACCCAGCCTACTTTTCCTGAGCAGTCCTTCAGTCTTTTACCTCCTTCCTTTGTTCAGCTGAAGTAACTAAGTCCTGCCAGTACCCTTAAGCCCAAAATGTACAATACCAACCAGCAGTTGCCCCAGGATATTCTCTAGACCAACATAATATCACTGGCATTTAAGAAGGTGATTTTAAGGCTCACTACTATCTGTACCTTGAAGAAAGCCCTTGTATAAATGAAGTAGGTAGTCTCCAGTTATTAAGTGTGTTCTTGTTTTTAGCTTTGTGCTATCTCTGCATTTAATAGTCAGTCATGACCACACTATAAATCCAGACTGACAAGCCTTACAGAGGTTAGGCTGGATCTGGCAGCAGTTGGGAGATTAGGGTGTGTCTACCTGCAGTGCAGATGCGAGGCTTGCATTAAGTAGGTTAGAGTTGAGATGTCTAGCAAGTATATCACCTCAGGCAATTCAGACAAGTACAGGGAAGTATCTATGCCCATGTTTTAAATTTCCTTTTAATACCAGTGTGAATTTAGAGGATTAAAACTAAAATGACTAGCCTCTATTAAGGATTAATTTAATATATTTAAATACTAAGCGGTGCAAGCTTGCTAAAGTTAAAAAAAAGATGGCAAGCCATAACGTGACAGAAGTTGCTGGGCCAAGATAAGCTAGTTGATATTTTTTTCAGAGGTGGAGAATTCTCATGCCAGTTTATGCAGGAATTTCTTGTTCCAATTTCAGCTGTGAATGAAATGGCCATCTCCAAATACAAATCATGAGAACAATGCAGCTCAACAGTCTGAAAGGACAAAAACATTCACTTCCATGCATTGATACTTACTGTAAAAGGAATCACATGCAAAACTATCACAACATCAAGGAAACTTTCAGATAAATTTTAAAAATAGCATTAAGATGTTTATTTATTTAGACACAGATGGATTCTAGTTTCCACTAAGAGCTTGACTAAGACTTGCAAGTAAAGCCTAAAATGCTACATTAATTGTAATTTAGTAGAAGTCAGCTTTAAGTGTGTAAGAGTATTAACTTCAACATATGAATAGCTGGCTGGCAGCCAGTGAGAGTCTGTGAACAGTTCAAACCAAATGCTTCAGAAGTTTAGGTTCCTTATCCTAACCCCCTGCTCCCCAAGTAAGGGTTTGCAAGCCAATCCCTGTATGGGACTGCCAGGGTGCTCTAGCTGTTGGCTGCAGCTTTAGTTTCAGAACAGCATCACTGTGATCATTGATGAGCTCTGAGTGGAGAAGCAGCATCCTTTGAAGTAAAAGCTTCAAACTACTGCAAGTTTTTATTTCAGCAACCTACTGCATGTTACACAAGTTGTGAACTACCCAGACACAAACTGCTTCTACTGTATGAATGCAAGTGAATGAATTCAGTCCTGGCTCTGGAATATCAATTTTGCTGGTAGGAATGTTCAGC